CTCCTTCCTCCATAGACTGCAGATAATCCAGAACTCTGCAGCCCGTGTCCTCTCCCGCATCAAACTCCATGACCCCATCTCCCCCATTCTTGCCCGAATCAATTGGCTCCCTATCCTTCAGAGGATCCAGTTCAAAATCCTGGCCCTCACCTACAAAGCCCTCCATGGTCTCGCCCCACCCTACCTCTGTGACCTCTTAACCCCCTATCAACCCGCCCGCTCCCTCTGCTCAGCCGGCTCTGGCCTGCTCCACGTCCCCTGACCCACCCATCCCACCATTGGCAGGAGAGCCTTCAGCCACTCTTCCCCAACCTCTGGAACTCCATCCCCCATTCACTCCGCCTCGCCCCTCCTTAGCCTCCTTCAAGTCCCGCCTCAAAGCCCTCTTCTTCGACCATGCCATCAGCCACCCCCCCTTTCCCTCCCCTCCCTTCTCCCCCCTGACCCAACTCGGGTCTGAAGCGCTCTACAAATGTAATCTTGTTGTTGTTGCCCCCTCCTACCTCTCTGACCTGCTAACCCCTTATCAACCTGTCTGCTCCCTCTGCTCAACAGGCTCTGGCCTGCTCCATGTCCCTCGCCTGGCACGCCTCACCATCGGCAGTCGGACCTTCAGCCTCTCTGGCCCCACCCTCTGGAACTCTATCCCACATTCCCTCCGCCTCGCTCCCTCGCTTGCCTCCTTCAAGGCATGCCTCAAGACCCTCCTCTTCGACCGTGTCTTTGGCCACCCTCCTACCCCACCCTCCCCACCCTCCACACTCCTTCTGGCAGAACGAGGGGGACAGTGAGGGCCTGCCTCAGGATCGTGCACACTAGGATCAGGCACTATATACGGAGGCACAAGCTGAGGTTCAGCTCAACCGTGGCAAAGGCCAGATGGGGCCTAACCCCAGCAGGAGCCGCTCCTTCGCAACCCTCTCAGGGCGCATCCACAAGCACACCCAAAACCATGACTAAAGTAAACATGAGAATAATCCTATAAATGTACAGAAGGACGCTCAAGATGTAAACAAAGAGCGTTCCGAAAATGTATGCATGGTAAACACATGCGCGTACGGTGCACATCCGAGCGCCTTCCGAAAACAGCAAGTGCGCACATGAATGTAGTGCGCACAGGGGCGCACTACATTCATGTGCCACCACCACCCCCCCCACACACCCCCACCCCCAACCAACCCACCACCCACCCCACACCCCCAACCAACCCCCGCCCCCCCCCACACCCCCAGCCAACCCCCCACACCCCCAGCCAACCCCCACACCCCCAGCCAACCCCCCACACCCCCAGCCAACCCACAACACCCCCAGCCAACCCCCCACACCCCCAGCCAATCCTCCACCGCCTCCCCAGCCAATCCCCCACCGCCTCCCCAGACCAACAGCTTCACCCTCAACACATACCTCCAACCCCCACCACACACCCCCAACTCCCCCCCCACAACAACAACAACAAGATTCCATTTATAAAGCGCCTTTCACGTCAGGAGGACGTCCCAAGGCGCTGCACAGTTGGGTCACACCCGCCCAACCCCCACACCACCCCCCACACACACGCCCCAGCACAGTGCTACTCCCCCCACACACGCTCCAGCACAATGCTACTCCCCCCACACACGCCCCAGCACAGTGCTACTCCCCCCACACACTTCACCCTAGTGATACACCCCCAGCGTTACTCCCCCCACACACACCCCTGCCTAGTGCTACTTCCCCTCCCACCTGCAAACACATCCAAGCCCAGTGCTACTTCCACCCTCCCCACACACACTGCAGCACAGTTTAAACTCTCTCCTCAACCCCGTCAGCACAGTGCAACAACTCCTTCCCACCATCCGCTGGCTCCGGCCTCCTGTTTGTCCCTCATTCCCTCCACTTCATTGGTGGCCGTGCCTTCAGCCACTACGCCCCTGGAACTCTCTCTCAATCCCTCTGCCTTGCCCCCTCCCCACTTTCAAATCCCACCTAAAGACCTTTTTGATCGTGCTTGCAGTCATCTCTCATTCCCTCGGCGTCAGACTCCGCCACTGCCAAGTGCTCCAGGACGCTACCCTTCGTGAATGGCGCTATAGTTGCTGTCATTTCCCTCTCCTACCCCCTCACCAGCACAGTGCAACCACTCATTCTCTGCTCTCCCCCCCCACTACTTTGCCCCCACCAACACAGTGCTGCTTAAATGAGATCAAGCACTTTTCTGCTGAGGATCCACACCAAGAAAGACATGCCTATTATATTTGTTCTAGTATTCCTCCTCTCCCGCAGCTGCTGGCCCACACAGTATAGCTGTCTGGGATGTGCTTGCTTTCTGTTAACTTGCTCAATGCCATTATTTAAAGAAAACAAAATATGTGAACCTAGTCAGTGTGTGTGGGCGGCTGGTAAAGAAGAGGAAGTTGAGTTGACGTCATCTGACATCCTCACAAATGCACTTAATAATATTATATCGAATGTACAAAACCAAAAAGGCTATTCTGCTCAATTTGCCTGTTTTTGTCACATA